CAAGTTTTCAAATTGATTGCGCGTTGATGTCCTCTCTTTCTTCAAGCAAGTGTTCCTGCAACCTATTCCAAAGATGATCAAAATCACGGAGTGGCGACTGAGCATCGCTTCTCTTGATCTCATCAATGGTCCTTTCCAACTTGCGAACTTGCCTCAACTGATGAAACAACCACTCACCCATCATGCGCTGAGATGGCCAAGTCCTGCGGCACACTATTCAAAGTGCGAAGGACACGACCTGAAAACTCTTGCAAATGCTTGGCACTGCAACCATCAAGCCCGATTTGAAAGATCGATTGCGAAGTAAGCAACGAGCCACGAGTGCGATCAATGTCAAAATGCCTGGAAACAATGTGCAACAAGTATCTGCCCCCGGGCGGATTTCCAATTCGAGTGCATCCTTCAATGTACCCCATGATCTTGAACTGCAACTCAGGCACATTTTCACAACCTTTTGAAATTTCAGCTGCCAACCAACGATCTAAACGCGGAACACAACCAGAATCATGCTTGATTACTTCATCGGAATTCACTTCATAAGCTTTGGAAAGCCAATGCGCTAAGTAATCCCTATCACTGATCTCCAACTTTGCCATGATCAGCAACAACTGGTTTTTCCAAGCTCTGAAATCCGAAGCACTGGAAGGAACCGGACCTAATGCGGCATACCGAAGCGAACGAGCATCCACAATGTCCCTCTCAACTATAGATCCCTGTGACTGGTAAAGCTTTGGGGCATGCGATCTCGAACTAATTCTTCATCTTCATCGTCAACACCATCTCCGCCATCATTTGATGGAAACCCTGGCCCCCCTGATCCGGCAAGTGCTGGAAAAGAACGAGGTCTTGGAGGAAGACCAGAAGGCGGAAACGGAAAAGACACTGCCGCGCTATTATGGCTCTGAACTTGATCGACATGAATCCCTTGAGCATCTTCAACCGCTGACATACGAGTCGAAAGATCTTGCAAAGCTTCCATCATGGATAGCAATTGCGCTGAAAAGGCCGGAGGAGGTGGAGCATCAGACGTGAATTGATCAACTGGTTGAGCGGCGCTTCCTGCAGCCAAACTCATCTCCATATCTTGACAGCGTTGACAAAGGGACAAGTTCTGAGCTTGAGATTCTTCCAAAACCAAACGCTGGGAGTCGACCGAATCCTTCAGCTGGTGGATTTCATCCATCAGTCGTGAAATTTCGCCCTCTTTGTGGTCTAACATGTTGGCGGAGCATTCAACTCTGCTACCCAATTCGTGATTCCGAGTAATTTGAAGCTCCAACTGAGCGCGAACATTGGCCACTTCTGAATTTAATTGATGGATCAGCTTTTGAAATCCCTGGTTTGATAGCTGAAGGCTCTCAACACCACCAAGCAACTCCTGAATACGTGAACAAGCCTGGCTGTACACATCTTGAGCTAAGCCTTCCAACCCCTTGATTCTTTCATCAGATTCCTGAACAAGGCTCTTGGCCTCGGAGACCATGTTGGCAAAATCCATGGGATCAACACCAACATTCACTTGCTGAGTGCGGTGATCATGATACTGGACCGCTGTGAATGATGGATCCGGGCATCAGGCTGACCACTAGACTCTTGGGGAATGAAGGTCGAAGGTTGGGAGGCCGATGCGGAACTATGCACAAGAGGAACTGGTGACATGGCACGCTCATGCTCTGATGGCTTTGGCAAGCGCTTGATAACTTGAAAAACTTTTCGAGGCTGATTCACGGTTGAAACTTGTTTTGTTCTTGACGACCGTCCTCCTGATTTTGGGGTCCCGGATGAACTTCGGCTTCGAGATGAATGAACTGTGACTGCACCTCCCTTAACATCGATGGACTCGGATGACAGGTTCAAGGATGAGGAGTTTGGATCTGACATGGTTCCTGTTCCAGCCTTTTACCAACAAAGATTCACAGGTCACGGCCGACGCAACGACATGTGTGCCAGGTTTGAGGCGCCTGGCAGCCTATGAAATGAAATCCCCAAAAACGGTGAAACAAGAGTAAATACGGCTGATAACCAACTGATTTGAGTAACAACACCCCAAAAACAACAGAGGATTCAAACAAAGACGGTGACACCAAGGGGCAGCAGCGGCAACCTGTTTTCGCCATCTTGAGCCAAACAAGTGAGTGGCAGCATGTCGACCCGTAAGGAAGGATACTAAACAACTGAAAGAATGGGTACAGGAAACCTCCATTTCTTTCAAGTTTCAAACCCTTAAAATCCCCCGCGGCAGCTTCGACCAGGCACTCTGGCGACAGGTTTGCCTCCATGGCCCTCTGTTGTTAGGGCGTTCAAGCTTGCCGTTTGCCAGCCTTCAAACCCTTAAAATCCCCCACAACAGCTTCGACCAGGCACTCTGGCGACAGGCATTTGTTGTTACAGCCTTGAAGCCTGCCGTTTGCCTCCATGGCCCTCTGTTGTTAGGGCGTTCAAGCCTGCCGTTTGCCAGCCTTCAAACCCTTAAAATCCCCCGCGGCAGCTTCGACCAGGCACTCTGGCGACAGGCATTTGTTGTTATAGAGCCTTGAAGCCTGCCGTTTGCCTCCATGGCCCTCTGTTGTTAGGGCGTTCTAGCCTGCCGTCTGCCGGCAGCTTCGACCAGGCACTCTGGCGACAGGCATTCGTTGTTAGAGCCTTGAAGCCTGCCGTTTGCCTCCATGGCCCTCTGTTGCTAAGGCGTTCAAGCCTGCCGTTTGCCAGCCTTCAAGCCCTTAAAATCCCCCGCGGCAGCTCTGGTTGCTATAGAGCCTTGAAGCCTGCCGTTTGCCTCCATGGCCCTCTGTTGCTAAGGCGTTCAAGCCTGCCGTTTGCCAGCCTTCAAACCCTTAAAATTACCCGCGGCAGCTTCGACCAGGCACTCTGGCGAAAGGCATTTGTTGTTAGAGCCTTGAAGCCTGCCGTTTGCCTCCATCGCCCTCTGTTGTTAGGGCTGCCGTTTGCCAGGCTTCAAACCGTTAAAATCCCCCGCAGCAGCTTCGACCAAGCACTCTGGCGACAGGCATTTGTTGTTAGAGCCTTGAAGCCTGCCGTTTGCCTCCATAGCCTTCTTTGCTGCGGGGGGAAATGTGGTGATTTGGCAAACCCTGATTTTCATCCACAAACCTTGGGTTTCACTTCAATTCAAACCCCACGAATTTGCCAGGTATGGAGGAAAAAAGTACGTAACTAGGTTGCCATGAAAAGGCTAGTACCAGCTATGAATCACTGACCCTGCCCCCGCGGCAGCTTCGACCAGGCACTGTGGCCACAGGCATTTGTTGTTAGAGCCTTGAAGCCTGCCGTTTGCCTCCATGGCCCTCTGTTGTTAGGGCGTTCAAGCCTGCCGTTTGCCAGCCTTCAAACCCTTAAAATCCTCTGCGGCAGCTTCGACCAGGCACTCTGGCGAGAGGCATTTGTTGTTAGAGCCTTGAAGCCTGCCGTTTGCCTCCATGGCCCTCTGTTGTTAGGGCGTTCTGCCGTTTGCCAGCCTTCAAACCCTTAAAATCCCCCGCGACACCCAGGTAAGATTTCTGATGAGGCCCAATTGGCAACGAGCCTCGGTTGGTGAGGATGCGAATTGTGCCTGCTTTCACATTGTCCCAGCGAAAACCACATACTAAATGCAGCAGCTGGTGGGGCCTTGTGGCTCCTGGATTGAGCAATCTGATCATCTAACTCATTGGGATTTTGGACAGGGGGGCCCGCCATAGTATTGACAAGCCAGGGCTCGAAAAAGGCCATGTAGTTCAAGTTGAACAATCAGAGCAGCCGGAAAAGGTGAAATCAAATTTGCGGTCCAAGGAATTGCACTGGCAGCATGGGCTCGAAAATTGTGGCCAATGAAAAATTGAGGCACAAAGAAAAATTGATGACTTTGTTCAACACATGTCACAACTTAGGATCTGATCCTCAACATGATTGCGCAAACAAAACCATGAGTCCTCAGCGACATGTGTTTTGCCGAGTCACTCTTGACGTCAGCTACGAACCAAAATTTCACTGACAAAGTCACCATGATCATGCGCCTGTTCCACTCCACAAAATTCACATGCCATGCCAATCTTCAGTATCGTTCCTTCACCTCAGAATTCAGGAGAATTTTTCTCAATTGATGCAAGTTGTCAAGACATGTGCTGCACCGTTCACCAAGATTCACTCTGCTGGTTTCTACAAAATAATGCCCTATCATGTTCCATGGGTCGTGTCTTAACAAGATCATGCAAGGACCTCTTAGAGGATTTCACCACCATCTCTACCAGATCTCCTCAAGGACTTGTGCAAGATCATGCAAGGACCCTCTGAAGAGAACTTATCAGGATCTCTACAAGATCTTCTTACAAGGACCTGTGATCATGCAAGGACCCTGAGAGGATTTCACCAGGATCTCTGCTGCAACTTCTTCCAAGGAGCTGTACAAGATCATGCAAGGACCTCTTAGAAAATTTTCATCTGATTTCGTCAGGATCTCCACAAGATCTTCTCACAAGGACCTGTACAAGATCATGCAAGCACCTCCTATAGTCTTATACAAGAATTTACAGGGAAAATGCCGCGCCCAAGATGGATCCCGAGACCGCGACCCACACTTTGCGCGAGCCTGCGCAGTCGAAATGCACATGGACATGTCACAGGAGGAGCCATTTTATTTTGCGAAAAAATTACTGGGAAAAATGCTGCGCCCCAGATGGATCCCGAGACCGCGACCCACACTTCGCGCGAGCCTGCGAAACGCACGTGGACACGTCGCAAGGGCCATCTGATGCGAGAATTTATAAGAAAAATGCCGCGCCCCAAATGGATCCCCAGACCGCGACACACACTTTGCGCGAGCCTGCGCAGTTGAAATGCACATGGACAAAACACAAGAGCCATTTTGTGCCAGAATTTACAGGAAAAAAGCTGGAAGCCAGATCCAGCACCATGATCAAGCACCGGCCTTTACCCTTACCGTAAAAACCCCTCAGTGTGGAGACGCTGCGTGGGGAACTTTAAAAGAAACTTCAAAGAACATGTTAAGGTTCCATGTCTGCATGTGTGAAACATTGTTTTTGCGGTTTTTGCCAAGCATCCAAGATGGCAGCACCCTGGAGCAGCAACTCTGGCTGCACTTTGCGCCATCCATTCTCCGTTTTCGTCTGCCACACACAGTCTCGCGCCGTCATCTCCAAAGTCTGTGCACTCTGCTTTTCCAGGAGCAAAAGCGACTGAGTGGTGAACCGCGAACCTAGGATCTGCATCAACTGAAACAAGAAAACTAACACCAATATGAACCATATGCACCTGCACATATACACATACTCCTACAAATACATTACCAGGATGCATTTAACAAGATGTGCGTGTGTGTGTGTGCGCGCACGCGTCTCGAACAGGGGTTTGATTCGAACTGCCCGTTTTGCACATCTTTCGCCTTTTTGGAGTGACTCACGTAGATAGCCGGGCCAAAACAGCCAAGAGTCTAGCACCGGAGTATGCGGCCAACAGGTGCCAATCCACTGGATCCTTGGAAAAACTCCATGCCAAGAAGTTGCCACTCTTCAAGAGCGTGTAGTGCGCACCTTTCAAGGTATGGACGTGGGGATCATTCCCCACCTGCCCCGCTGGCACGCAGCAGCACAACCTATTCGCAGTGGGATTTAATCCCAAGTCGCAATTGGAATTTCCGCTGCCGGAAATTCGACAAGCGCGCCCACTGCCCACCACGAACACATATGGAGCCCGGTCGTTGCCGCTCTGCCGTGGGTTGGGGTTTGAGGCCGGACCGGTAGTAGCGGTTACGCAGGGAAAGCCCAGATCGTTCATGACATCTATCATTCCTTGTTCGGTGAGACCCTTCTGCTGAACAGGGTCACACTCTTTACCGTCAGTTCCGCAAGCGACTGTACAGCGCTGACCTGGCAGCAAAACACCATGTTACCATGTTCAATATATTTCAACGGTCGATATTTCTTTGCCACTGGAAAACGCATGAAAACACATGTTTTGCCAAATAAAATGTGGTGTAGATGTTTTTTGGAATTTCTTGTTTTTTCCCGATGCGTAGCAAGGGTTCCCGTTTCACTCTACGGGTATGGGGGTTGAGGGTGTGTTCGCTCGACGTTGCGTTTATGTTCGCAACCGTCAGCAACCGTTCGCAACCGTCCGCACGATCCCCGTATGGCCGTGCCTATGGTAAGTTCTGCAAAAGGGTCACTTTTGGACGTTTCACATGTTGCGTTGCTTCGTTTCGCGTGGCAGATGTGGCACTTCGTGACATTCAGACGTGTTTTGTAACGTTTTTTGTGTGGCAGGCGCAATACTTTTGCGACGTTTTCAGACCCTGAGCATCGGTTATTGATTCTAATCAACAGAAATGTATCTTTTTTTGTTGATTTTTAAGGTCTAAAAAAATATTGAGTTTTTTCAATATTTTTTGGGACCCTTGTCCTTTTAGGACTTTGTTGATTTTTTTTTGCAAAACCTATTGATTTCAGGTTTGCAAAACCTATTGATTTTCAACCTGCTGTTTTTGGATCAAGCTTTAAGATTTGAGTCCTTGACAAAAGGACATTGGCTGTGCTGGGGTTTCTGAACCCTTGCCAAAAGGGATCAATGTCAACCAGGGGTGGAGCCAGGCACACCACCAAACCCCAGGTTGATACTGGCCTTCTATATAAGTCCATTTGCCAAAACAAAGGGCTCTTGGCCAACATGGGTCTTTATGAATCCATCTCCAAGACCCAAGCCTGCAACCCTAAGGCCCTGGTCAAGGTGATTCCCTTGATAAAAGGGCTTGTGGAACTGGAGGCAACAGGTGAAATCCATGGGCAAAACCTGAGGCAGGCTATCTTCCAACTCCTCATGGAAGACCCTAGCCTCAATGATAGCAAGTGGGCTGGTGGGACATGGGTAAGTTTAAGAGTAGAAAGGCTGAATGTGGTGCTGTTCCACATGAGAAGACTGAGGCTCTCAAGTGACCTCAGGGCTTGTGCCAGCAAGCTTACCACTGTGGAATTCCTTCAAATCGAGGAAGTTGTTGAACTAATGGAGAAGAAGCCTGACCTGGAGGAAGTTTCTGCCTTACCCCTTGTCCAAAGGGAAGAGCCTTCACCCCTTGTTGAAAGGGAAGGGCCCAATGAGCTTCACAAACCAAAAAAAAAACTAAAGGTAAGCACCAGTGATGTTTCTGTTGGCAGCCATGGCCTGCCCAAAATGTTTGGAACACCTGAGCCATCAGCAGCAGCCAGCCCAGCCTCCAGCAAGCCCTTGCCAAAAGGGGAGCCACATGAAGAAAGCCCCTTGCCAAAAGGAGAGCCATCTGAGCCCAATTCCTTGCCAAAAGGAAAGACTTTGGCCAAAGCCATTGCAGAGCCAAGTTTCCTGAGAAGAAGGTTGGGGCAGCTGGCTACAAAGACAAGGCTACGGCGCGGTTAGCGACCCGGGGTAATTCATTGATTTTTCATGATGCTTGGTTCACCAAATCATGGTATTTGCAAGGTTTTGTAAAAACGCGATAAAAACGTCAAATCGTAGTTACTTTGGGGCCTACTACCAAAAGTGCGTTTCGTGTGAAACGTTCATCGATTTTCAATACCCCTGAAACGAATTATTGTTTTTTTCCTTTTGTTGGAGAAATTCAGTTACATCTGACCACCAGTCATTGAGCAACACTTTTTTTTCAACCCACCCTTGCAAGTTGTGCATGTGACGCAAGTTAACATGAACGTTAACATCCCCGCCTCACCACAACCCAGTGACGTGACGTCAGTTGTGCATGTGACGCAAGTTAACATGAACGTTAACATCCCCACCCCACCCCCAGTGACGTGACGTCAGTTGTGCATGTGACGCAAGTTAACATGAACGTTAACATCCCCACCCCACCCCAACCCAGTGACGTGATGTCAGTTGTGCATGTGACGCAAGTTAACATGAACGTTAACATCCCCACCCCACCCCAACCCAGTGACGTGACGTCAGTTGTGCATGTGACGCAAGTTAACATGAACGTTAACATCCCCACCCCACCCCAACCCAGTGACGTGACGTCAGTTGTGCATGTGACGCAAGTTAACATGAACGTTAACATCCCCACCCCACCCCAACCCAGTGACGTGACGTCAGTTGTGCATGTGACGCAAGTTAACATGAACGTTAACATCCCCACCCCACCCCAACCCAGTGACGTGACGTCAGTTGTGCATGTGACGCAAGTTAACATGAACGTTAACATCCCCACCCCACCCCAACCCAGTGACGTGACGTCAGTTGTGCATGTGACGCAAGTTAACATGAACGTTAACATCCCCACCCCACCCCAACCCAGTGACGTGACGTCAGTTGTGCATGTGACGCAAGTTAACATGAACGTTAACATCCCCACCCCACCCCAACCCAGTGACGTGACGTCAGTTGTGCATGTGACGCAAGTTAACATGAACGTTAACATCCCCACCCCACCCCAACCCAGTGACGTGACGTCAGTTGTGCATGTGACGCAAGTTAACATGAACGTTAACATCCCCACCCCACCCCAACCCAGTGACGTGACGTCAGTTGTGCATGTGACGCAAGTTAACATGAACGTTAACATCCCCACCCCACCCCAACCCAGTGACGTGACGTCAGTTGTGCATGTGACGCAAGTTAACATGAACGTTAACATCCCCACCCCACCCCAACCCAGTGACGTCAGTTGTGCATGTGACGCAAGTTAACATGAACCCCCCCCACAACCCCGTGACGTCAGTTGTGCAAGTGACGTGAACGTTCACATCCCCACCCCACCCCAACCCAGTGACGTGACGTCAGTTGTGCATGTGACGCAAGTTAACATGAACGTTAACATCCCCACCCCACCCCAACCCAGTGACGTGACGTCAGTTGTGCATGTGACGCAAGTTAACATGAACGTTAACATCCCCACCCCACCCCAACCCAGTGACGTGACGTCATTGTGCATGTGACGCAAGTTAACATGAACGTTAACATCCCCACCCCACCCCAACCCAGTGACGTGACATCAGTTCTGCATGCATCAATTTCAAGAGCAACTTGCCTCCAATCAGCAAAAATGGCAAAAACGCAAGGGTCGTTAATGGCGCCGTAGGCAAAAACAGGACAAAAAGTCACCAGTAAAAATCCCAAACCAAAAGGAAAATTACTATCAGTCTTCAAGTTTTTCAGCTTCAAGTTTTCAGCTTCAAGTTTTCAAAGGCCGTGAAGAGACGACGTGTCAAGAGGACACAGGACAGTGGAAAGCAAGACTCAAACGCAGAGTTGGCTGTGAAGGATCGTGAGATCAAGATCGGCACCGCAAAGCAGACGGCAATCAAGCATATGTTGAATTACTGCACGTTCGAAAGCTATCGTGCTTTGCAGTGTCATCTGTCATTCTTCTCGGAGTCATCTGTCAATGAGTCTGTATTGTCCTGGAAACATTTGTGGCCAACATCAATGCCTGCTGATGGAATGTTCCCATCCGAAGCGGAAGAGTATGCTCGCAGAGCAGGCGCCGCTGCTGCCGCCAAGTTGGTGCCCCCCCGGCTGATGTGCTTTTGCTCAAAAAATAGTTTTATATATGTATATCTAATATAGTGTGTATATATATATACATATGTATATATATATATAAATATGTATATATATATATATATGTATATACATGTGTTATATATATATATACATTTTTAAATATTTATATTTATATATATATATAGCGTTTATTTATTCATTTGTTGGTAGTGATTATTCACTTTCATATATTGTTGTTCATTCCAAAATCATCCAAGGTCAAAGCAGTTGGAGTTTGGTGGAGAATTATCACCAGAAGATCACAACCTGATCATGGACAAGATCATTAGCATCCAGGAGGACACCCTTTCCAACCACGATGGATCTTCCAAGGTCACTGTTGATCAGTTGTGGACCTACCGCTTTGTAGTTACATCATGGACCCGTGGCATTGCAGACTGCTGCTCCGCTGACCTGAAGTCCACTGACTTTGAGAATGTCAAGGATGCAGTGCTCAAAGGTGATGCCACTTGCTCGCATCAAGGTTTGTTCTTTGTATCCATTGGACTTGTAGAATCTCTGAGTTATTTGAATCTAGGCCCTTGACGGACAGATCAAGATGTGCATCAAGCAATGGCCTATGGCTTGGAATGTCACCATGCTTCCAGACGTGGCTGCGTTGGCGACTGATCAAGCAGCAGCCCACGAAGACAAAGAGAATCTCATTGAAACAGCTGAGCGAGAAGAGTGGATCTTCGGCCAAGTTTATGGATCTTCGACCAAGTTGTTTTGATAGCTTTTGGTGCATCCAGCTGTGGTTTAAGGACAGCAAAGCTTCGTTCAATGGAGGCCAAGCTTGCAGTTGACCAACGGCTTCTGTCGTCCATGAGCACAGGACGTCAGACTCAGAGTTACTTACTCTGTCAAGCAAGTCATCAACTGTTGATATTGAAATTGATGATGTAAATATATTAAACATAATAAACATATTTAATAAACATATTTAACAAACATATTTAATAAACATATTTAATAAACATATTTAATAAATAGTGCTCTTGGTTTCGTGATGCTGTCGTCTTCTGTTCACCTGCAGGATTTGAGACTTTGCAAGACTGCCTCGACTGGCTGTCATGCAAGAAGAAGCTGGCTCTTGCAAAGACAGCTCAGGAGTTGGTGCAGAAGTACCAGGAGATGCAGAGCCCAGTGTGTGAACTGAATGACATGGCCGAACTGCCAGGGCAATATGCCACAGTATCTTCAAAGGTTACTGCCCATATCAAGGGCAAGAAGCTGGTGGTGGCAATCTGCGACTTCAATGTGCCTGGCGTTCCTTGATTTGAATCATTCTGGACCTGCATTGTTCTTTGTGATCTTTTTCACCCTAAGGCGCGGAATTCCTTG